ATATCTACTTAGGCATAGTTTCTTCACACAACGTCTCAATCGTTGGATCATCAATACCTAGACTAATGCTTAGTCTCTGTATATATATAATTTTGATAGTAACAAACAAGCCCATTTAAATTGAAAAGGAGCCCCAGGGAGACCAGAGATTCATAACCTGAACCTGAGGAAATCTAGACTTGCTTTATTTAGGGCTTTAGCACTGCAGGGAGGGCTTGGCAGTGGGGAAATAATGTGGTTCAGGGACTGTGAGACAGACTAACCAATACCCTACAGTCCACTCTAAATATAAGGGTTTTATACCAGTTTGGTTTACCCCATCTGTCAGTCTGATAATGCTGTGATTACTACCGGGCATGCTAGCAGAACGTATGTCATTAAGGTTATATCCGATCCCGTTATAACATTCCTGATGTACTGCTTAGTTATAGATGTTGTTATAACATTGATAACGTTTTTATTCAGTTCACTCCTAACACGTAGAGAATTACAAATCCTGCTTTGAGTGATAGTGATAATACCTGAACGATTTAAGGAGCTTGCACAATTTCGTTCTTGCTTTTCAATTTGGAAAATGAAAATATATATACGCCCTGCACGTGAGGGATATCTTAAAGGAATGTGCAAACGTATCATTCAAAATTTAACGAAAAAAGGTCTCATTCAGCCTTTGCTGATAGCAAAGCATTTTGGTTATTACGTCCTGATGCCTGTGTTTGCTTTCATTCAATTTTATCTGTCACTAGTTGAAGAAACTTTCCAGCTCAATGTTGTGTAATCTTTGTACTACCTGTATATTACAGTACTTGACAGTGAAGGGATTGGCTTGCTGTGTGTGCTGATAATAGTGCTTGTCTCACGTCATTGTCCGAGTGATGGTGTCGATACTGTCGATATAGCTGTATGCGGTTATCTCCCCTTGCCCCACCCACGTGATCCTCATCAGATTGGACTTCCGGTATATTTCACTTCCTGAAAAAGTCATTACTGTTTTTACCTCCGACCGTTGTAAATCTAAAACGTCAACCCACATACCGCTTTATAATTGAGGTGCCGTGGCTGTCTCAGTTAAACCGGTTATCCAGCTATCAAGGTGCGCATGTTTGGGCCAATCAGTATGAAGATCTACATTTTCTATTTGTCAGTTTTCTCTACCCAGAGAACAATGTTTCGTGGTTGCCTTGGTTACACTCATTGTTGTTCTCGGTATACGTGACGCATAAAAAAAACCCCATACATCATTACTATCCAAGTTTAAAATCATTCGAACCTAAATATATTTGAGGCAAGTGGAATAAAGATCATGTTGATTTTGAAAACCTCCAAGGTTTTTTGGCTCGATTTTTCGCAGTCTCTGAAGAAACAGGTTTAACTTTATCAAAACATCTCATGTTTCAATTTTGTCCACCACTATCCCACATGAAAAATTTCATTCCTTGATCCATGGGGAATTTGTTACTCATAATCATACATACAGGTGCTTCAGCATCTTTATACAATATTCAGGAGATTTGTCAGAGAAAGAAATCCAATGCCATCTGAAGATCAGTCATAAAAACAATATATGAACTGATGGACTTACATGTATGTAACATTTGGGGTTCAAAGATTTGGCTAAGAAGTAGGCAACCACATTGGCACCAATTGTGTTGCCCTTCTGAATATCTGCTCTGATTGTCAAAGTCAAAACCGGAGAAACTGGATCAAGGTGATTCAAATATATTTGACTACCTGATAAATTTCGATTACAGTCAAATAGCCGATTCCCTTCCACAGATTTATACACCTGAACCAGAAACAAAGAAGATCAGTGAGACCGCCTAATCTCTTTCATACTTGGATGTACGCATAAACGAATATTTAGAGAAAACACTCCACAACACTGTGGAATAAAAATGTGTAAGTCATGAGAGAAAGGCTCAAACGTTTTTTTATCAAAGCTTTCAAAATGTTTAGTGGTAGACATGCGGTGTGTTTTATATGCCACGGAGGAAGTACGTGTGCTATAAAGGGCAATATATGATGAGGTCCCTTTTCGCATAATACCAAAATGAGCACGTCTTATGTTATAATTGCAAGATTTTCTGTGACTCTCAAATGTGACAAAACCAGTTGTTCTTTAAATTCACATTGGCAATATTTCCTCATCTTTCCTCTATATTTGACGACACATTGGCAATATTTCCTTATCCTCCCCTCGTTCTTTTACGTCATATTGGCAATATTCCCTTATCCTCTCTTGTTATTTGACCCGTGAAGGTCCGGGTTAGAATGAACCTTCAGTAGCCCATGCTTGTCGTAAGAGGCGACTAACGGGATCGATTGGTCAGGCTCGATGGCTTGGTTGACCCATGTCATCGGTTCCCAATTGCGCAGATCGATGCTCATGTTGTTGATCACTGGATTGTCTGGTCCAGACTCGAGTATTTACAGACCGCCGCCATATAGCTGGAATATTGCTGAGTGCGGCGTAAAGCTACACTCACTCACTCTTGTTATTTTACGTCTCATTGGCAATATTCCCTTTTCCTCTCTTGTTCCTTTACGTCACATTGGCAATGCATTATTCCCCTTTTCTCTCTTGTTATTTTACGTCACATTGGCACTATTCCATTTTTCTCTCTTGTTATTTTACGTCACGCTGGCATTATTCCCTTATCCTCTCTTGTCATTGTACGTCACATTGGCACTATTCCCTTATCTTCCGTCGTTCCTTTACGTCTCATTGGCCATACATTTTATCCTTTATCCTCTCTTGCTATTTTACGTCACACTGGCAATATTCTCTTATCCAACCTCTATATTTCACGTCACATTCCCATATTCCCCAATCCTCTCGTTATTTACGTCACATTGTCAATATTCCTGTATCCGCTCTTGTAATTTTACGTCACATTGGCGATATTCCCTTATCGTCCCTTTTTATTTTACGTCATACTGGCAAACGTTAGCCACACATGTAAAGATAGCGAGCATTCTGTAAAGACATCCAGTAAACTGAATGGTCTTGCCATCTAGCATCAGTGTGTGTAACATGTATAGGATTCACCTCGGTTTCACAATGTTATAGTAGTATCACAGTGCGTACCTGTTATGTAAGGCAAAGCTCGGAGCGACAGGTCACACATGGAGTAATCCCAGGGATTCGACCCACGACGCTGAAAAAAGACATCCATAACGCACGGACGCTGACTCGCTCCACTGTGCGTTGAAGCAGTACTCTGTTCGCCTTCTGTGGACGGGGTGCTGGTTAGTGTCCAGTGGGACGGGGTGCTGGATAGTCTCCAGAGGGTCGATGTTGTCAAATTGCATGCCAAGAAATATACATCTGCCAATGACATGTTTTACATTCGATGTACAGAAAAGCAACATGTTCGTTATTCCTTTGATCAAAACGCTTCAAGGGTACTTCATTAACCTAGGACTTGTTACCGTTTTACGATGTTGAATGGGTTCTAAACAGTATCATGCACTGTCTAAACAGTACAATGCACTGTCTAAACAGTACCATGCACTGTCTAAACAGTACCATGCACTGTCTAAACAGTATCATGCACTGTGTTTACGGCATCATGCACAACCTTGCAAAACATGTATGACGTGATGACGGTGTCAGTTGGCGCTAATAGCTTCCACTCAACTAGTTAGCATGTGTCGAGTATCAAGACATAAAGATGCCGTTTACCAGGCAACTCCTTCAAAGCTTAATTTGTCCATTTCTCTGCCTGGAGGGAGGCGCCAAGAAATGCCCGACCCCAAGGGCGGTTTCGATTACGATGACTTAGCTTCGATCTGTGGCAAATTGACTCAGCCGCGCTGAGTCCTCAAACTGGAAGTAACGATTTATTCAGAATTTTGACGTTCTCGAGAAAATTATCTTATTTACCGGGAGATCGGACGACGGCCAACTTGGGCGAATTGCGCCGCGTCGAGTTTAATTTCTTTATCGAGTCGCTTTACACTGGCCACATGGTAATAATTTAATATGGAGGCTTTCAATTGATGTAACAGACTGATTGATAGCGGGGCCCAGCCTTGGTAACGACATCAACAGAACACTGGCTAATTTTGCTAATAATCTTTATTGAATAACACTGTAATGTCCTCCGCTCATTTCCTCGGCGCCAGCAAGCCCCCCTTGCATACACAGCATCACTGTCGTACCAAACGATTTTTTCAACTCCTACGAACTTCAGAAATTGACAGCTTAATCAGATTTATTTTAATTGAAACATTGAAACCAGGGAATAAAAATATATGTTCTATGGGGTTTTCTTTTTACTTTTTAATTTTCTCGTCCCAGGAATTATAATTCCAGAAATAGGAATAACGGAGGTTCGAGTAACATAACGCTATACTCGGTGATTAATTTGTCTGGCAGGGGTATGTCAGATATACGTAACTTGTCTGGCCAGATCCCACACAGGTGCCACGCGTAACAGTATACTCAAACCCGCAACAATAGGAGCCCAAACAGTGCAGCTGAAGCCCGTGCAGATATATGCAGATACATATGCAAATGCGACCATCACATTTCACCATGTCGTTTGAAAATATTCGATTCTGATCAAAATTCTGATTAATCGTTTTAAATAAGCATACGGCAATTACCCTTGCAGTCAATGTATGAAATGAAATTTTCCAGCAAATTTTCATTGTAAATTAAATGATTCACATTTTAATATAGTGAACGTTATTACCACCTGTCCAACACCATCGCATCTTAGATAATCTATACGAATATAAGGAGATTATTAAGATATAAAAATTATTTCAGAGATATTTGTTTTTTAGAGTGATAGGACACTCTGTTACGACCCTCCTCCCATTCACTGAGTCCCTCCTCCAGTACTGACAACACGTAAATACACACATTCATAACGCCGGTTCCCGTGTACAGTCTACCAGGCGTCCGACCGTCCAATTTAACAAGATAAATACGGTAAAAATAAATATTAAAAAGTGTTCCAATAATGAAAAATACGTAGTTAGTCAATATGAAAATGACGATTTTTTTATTTAAGAAATAATTCAAGTGTTCATTTTCCTTCACTTCCATGAATTAAAATACTCATGTTGAAATTTCTTTGTTTTCGAACATCATCTCTTTGTGTTGGAAAAAATAACTCAATAAAATGTAAATGAGAAGGATTTAAGCAAGAGACAAGCTGGAGGCGACATGTCCCTGGTAACTGTAGCCAAGACCATAATCGATAAATACATGTTGTGCTCAAATCTTTGGAGACAATGAAAAACAAAAATCATTTGATACAATCATATTCATTTAATTTCTATATAATTTTCAATATTTGCACGACATGAAATATTTTCTGTACAGACAATGTGGCCTATATCTGGGACAGCACTCTCACGCTCTAATATACATACACACGGTCTTAGACACACATGACCACATGAACAACTGAATGAACACGGACTACCCCCTAGAAAACAACCTACATGACAGATGACGTCATGGACGCCGGTCTCAACACCTCCCCATAATACTGATAGTTCAGATGCACGATGTCCGCAAACAGGGTACACTCGTTTATGCAGACACCTCAAGTTCGCAGCGAACAAAAAATTGTCTTCCGTTCGGAATCTGTTGCTATTACTGAATATTGCAGGAGTCCATATAAACGAGGGTACTCTGTATTTTGTGTGAACGGGGAGTTCACGTAATACTGTATGGTCAGTGTCAGTATTGTGCAAAGTCGAAACACAATGAGATCACGTGACATAGTCTGGATAGTCGAATGTGCACACACATCAAAAGTGAATAAATTAGTGAATGTCTTGAAAAAATGTTTATAGTCATTAACGAAGTGTTTATAGCACGATATGACTCCAATGTCAAAACTTCACTTCGTTAAAGGTATACGCCTTGGAACCGTCCTTGATCAGTAGCAGCCTGACCCTTCCCCCATCCCCGGGAGCGTTCTGGACATTCATCAGAGTCTTCTGTTCGTCCCACCCCAGACGAACGTCTCCGGGGTTAGTGATAGCGATAACCCTCCCTTCATTTCCCCCGAACCGCGCTGAGATCGGTCCGAGAACTATTTGTCACACAGCATTGCTACAGACCCCCGTAGACAGACGTAGCCCACGTAGCTGCTGTCGTCGTCTGTAGCTGCTTCTATGTGATATATTCTCAGGCGTCAAACACTCGCTGAACAACAGCGCACCTCCCATCAGAACATCTTTGGTTTGACTTCGTTAATCCATCATCTGACGTCACAATTCTCGGTGACATCACATCCGGTCTGTGTGACAGGATTTCCGGCTCTTCTGAACCCATGTTTGTAAAAACTCCGCCTTGTGCTAAACGCCATAGAAATCGGTGCCTTGTAAACAACACACTGAAATTAGTGCTGGTCTATAAATTGGTCAAAATGATGTGCTCTACGTCATCAGTTTTTTAGTTCTGATGCCCACACATGTTGCGGCCAGCCCGTCCTTCCTTTTCCTTTCTTCTCTGAAGACGGACTTCCGGCATCGCTGTCGCACGAATTACTAGATTCCTGAAAGTGAAAAAATAACATTAAAGTTTCAGTTCAAGAGAAACAGCACAGGACATAAAGTACAAACAAGACAAATTATTGTGTGGCTTTTGTGATGCTGTTCCTTGTGGCCCTGGTGGCACACTACGAGGGGCGACATTCTGGCATCTTTATGTTTGCACGTGCAAAAAGACACACAAAATATTTGTAAATTGGTTTTCTTTTAATGTTTTGTCACAAGTCTGTCTCCAGGAGTTCCTAGCCTCGTTCTGAAGTCACGTGGTCAACACGAGGCTCCCTTCCCTAACGGCATGTTTCTGTAGATGTTGCCAAGTGCCAAACGACAGACCGACGGGATTTTATCGATCTGAGGAATTACAAGGCATCTGCCATGAGGTTATTGTAATCGTCATTGCTCCGGTGAATATCTGCAAGTTGCCCGGAATCTGGCATGTCCTCTACCCCACCACGTCTGCTCAACGTCACCGTCTGTCATGGTCCTTAAAGCGTTCGCCATGTGTCATTGAACTGTAATAAAGCATAGAACGCCGTGACACATTCCCTCCCATCTCACCTGCCCCTTCTGAGGAACTGCTAATTTTGATGATGTCACAGCACGTGCATGTTAACGGCCGGAAGTGATCAGCGTCAACCCTGAATGTGGCACCAACATGCTTGGATTCAGTTAGTTTACTGTTATAACCCACGGGTCAAGCTTCAGGGTTGAGTTCAACTCGAACAGTGCACGTGTGGGTTCGGGGATATTACCTAGCGACCCGTACCCTCCTTACCCCGACCCCCTACCTTTCTAACAAGATGTAGACCAATCTTCCCTTCCCCCTTCAAAACGCTTTGATACTTCCTGTTCAATTACAGCGCATCGTGCTACGAAACCCCGTCAGACAACTAGGCTCCGTGTCAGGTTAGACAATCTGTACACATAGAACTAAGTATGTTTAATTCGAAACCAAACTTTTAAAAATTACCATGGGAAAAACTAATTTTGAATTGGAAACAAGACCATGAACGTCAGATTCTTTCTGAGTTGTAAGTGGTTAGTTCCGCGGATAGTTGAAAACTGAAGAAAAAAATTCACTCACGCTGTGACGTGTAAATTGAAGACTGCTAGAAAATATGTACATGTAAATATATGTTGAAAGATATGCGAGGGCGAACACGTGAAGCCACGGCGAGATGGCCTCGTTTTAACACGAAGGTCGGGATTCCCAGTGAGATAGCCTGGGAAGACATTCTCATTCTATCTCACCCCAACGGGAGGCCATAGCTCGCTCCAACAGCAGATTCTTGCGTTAATCGTGTTTAGGTAACGAGCTCGGCCGCCCGCGACTTCATACATCGGAATAATTGCCTATTGCAATAGTGAAAACCCTGGGAGAAAATTAAAATCTAAGGATACAGATTTTGATGGAGCCGGTGATGGGATTCATTTCTAACTGCTTTTTAAGTCTTGAAACGATTTTATAAATATTTTAACAAGCAATGACGTATTTTGAAATATTGGGGCAACATTCGTGGCGAGGTGTATTTCTGGGGGTTGATACAAAATTAGGATCGAGTGACACGGGAACATGTATTTAGTTGTTGTTGTTTTTTAAAACATGTTAATGTATGACACGTGTTTGGCCGATTTAACAATACTCTCAGGATAGGCAACATATCCTACAGGGAATATATTCATATATTTTATTTAATTACATATTTGTCCCTATCGACACACCAATGACTTATCATACTTGCACAGAGCATTATCCCGCGTTGGGTGACAAGTGTGCTACAACACAAATACAACATTGATACTATATTCGTACATAACATGAGAAAAGTTGACAGAATTTTCTTAAGATACAACTGGAGCATCCTCCGTTTTTCACAGCAAAGAATTCTTTTTGGAAAAATCTTTAGAAATTGTATCAGGTTTGAAAAATATAACATCATTTGGAAGAATATTGTCGCTGTCAAAAATAGTACTGTTTATTTCGATAAAGTCCTTACTTGGAGATTTAAGTACACATATGCATGGCCCGATTCAGTTTTCTACACACGGTTTTCGAGTACCATTGACTAATATCTGTACAGATTACAAATTGTGATGCTATAAATATCTTGAAAATTAGTTCTCTTACAATACCTTGAGTGGTTCGGTATGTCCACAATGGATTCATGTGACAGTATTGTTGTCGGTGCACACCTAGATACAACTTTGCATTGGAATATATTTACCGGAACCGTTTACAACCATTTTCACGTGATTCTGGACCATTCCCATGACAACCATGGTCTGGATGATAACAGTCAGTAGAGCCACGAAAGCGTCAGTCATAGAAGTTGAAATTGCTCAAAACGGAAAAATAATGAAATAAATACCTGACAATTTTTAGAATAAAAAAATCGCACAAAATGTTCGTCGAAATTATTAATACCAAATGCAAAAATGGAATATATAAATCAAAGGTTAGTTTTACTTAATTACTTTATCCGAAACATTTAAACAATAACAAAGTATTGGGCGGGTATAAACGAAAACATCAGTTGATTTTAACACGGAAACGAACTTGTCATTATTCAAAATACGCGTCCTCTTCTAATTTCTTTGAATCACAGTGAATGAAATTCCGACAGACATTGCCAAAATAACGAGTATCAGTTGAAAGTGTTTTGTTGACGGATGCAATAGGAATCTTCAATCAGTCAAAGCCACGGGTCCCATTACTAAATAGGAACACGGCATAATCCAGACCCCCCTTCCTACCAGCGTGAGGGTGCCTGGTCTGTATTCCTGGCACGTGGCTCCCTTCCCCCTCCCTACAAGTGCAACAGAACTGCCAGTATGGACGTCTTATCTACAACATCGGCTCATCTCGTGACACGAGACCAGCGCGAGAATATCAGACATAACCCAATCGGATATTCTTGTCTTTGATACTTCATCAATACTTGTATGCGTTGAATAAACCAGAAACGCAATGCCGAAAGGTTTAAATATCAACGAAAATGTTCCTGAATAAAATCAAATACGAGTGTGTATCCCCAAATAAATCTAAACATGTTGAATAGGCTATCTATGCCCTGAAATGTTTTCAAATAACGGCATCATGCTATTAACCCGCAAACTAGTTTTCTACATTTAGATATAATTCGAACGGTATATTTTTTACGTGGTATGTAGCTAAAGATTACATTTGACGTAATGTTTTCTTAAATGGCCGGGTTTAACTCTTCTGTATCAGCAGAAAGAGAGCGCAACGTCAAATCGGAGAATATTCACATGAATTATTACGCTCTGCCGCTCGAAAGAAAATTAAATTCTCTTTACATTTTAGTGAGTGCCCGAGCTGTGAGTCGGCGTGGAAGTCTGTGAACTAGGCACAGGAAACGTGAGCCTTATTCATCATATTTGTTTACGTTATTGTGGGGAAGCTGATACCGATCTGTCGCCTCTTATCTCTTGTCTTTTCCCAAGCTCCTCCAGAATTCAACAACTCATTTATAAATAACTGTTTCCTCGCTAGAGTATTCGTAGAGTTGATCAAATAGTAGTTGTCGTTTATATAGCAAGGAAATTACCGATATATACTTCGATTATGATAAAGTCGAACAGATCACGATTTGTCAAAAATTTCGATTAAGCCATATCATTAAATATTTTCCCACCTATCCTATATGTATCAGAAGGACTAAATGTGTCATTTGACAAGATAAGGGGGAGTTTGCGCACCGGCTTGAACGTCGCCTGTCTTCGAGGCGGTATAAGATTTTTAAATATTTACACAAATTCGGTTTATTATACACATCCATGGAAGCCCGTGCTTTCAAGTGCGAGGCGGGTAGAAAGGGTTACAGTATGAACTAGGATGAACAAACAGCCTGATATCCCTCATATGATGCAACTATTGAAATACTTGAAAAATGTTATCTGTACTTTAGGTTTGGGGTTTTAATAAATATTCTGGGGGAAAAATTGGTTAAATGTGGACTATGTTGAGTGCATTTTTTATTTTATCATAATACAACTTGCTCATCATATTTTAATGGTATAATATCCTCTTTGAAATTAAGAAAACCATTATTTGGAGTGATTTTTAAAAGAAGACATTCCGTATAACAAACCATTGAAGCTGAAGTGAATATTATTGTTACCGTTAAAATTCTATGTTACAAAAGCGTTGATTCCAAGTAGGAAAAACCTACAAATAACGCTTGAAACATTTAGAAAAATCTACTTTTCGCCCATTTTACGAATTGACGTTAATAGTCAGATAATACAACTATATGTTATCAAATCACGTTTGATAGGGACATTAATTCTTCTGGCTGGATAAATTGGGGCGATAGAAAATTATTTATTTTCAGTTGCTTTCCTTTGAAGTATAGAGTTATCTCCAAGTGCGTCTGGATATTCCCCCTTCCCTCTCCCCCATCCCCTCGACCTGGTCATGTGACATGTTGATGTCTTATCTACGCTCTCTCACAAACAAATACCGGGGGGGATATACTTCTCACACTGTTCGCATTGTACAGATAATATACAATTTATTATCCGGTCTGAATGTTTGATCGTAAGCTGTTTTTTCTGTAATGTTTTAGTCCTATTGAATGCTGTAATCTATATTTGAATGCTTAAAATCTATACAATGTATTGTGTTGTATTGTGAACATGGTTCAAATTGTGTACAGAATTTTAACTAAGTCTTTGTTATACAATGTAATGAATTGTATTCGAATTGTTTGAATCGTATAAGCTGTGTTATGATGTGAAGTATATGGTGTGGTGTGGTGTGGTGTGGTGTGGTGTGGTGTGGTGTGAATATTATACAATTGAAGTGTATTGTTTTGTATTGTTTGAATATTATACAGTGTGGTTTACTGTATTTGAAGAATGGAATGTAAGAAAATGTAATGAATAGCAATTGAAGTGTTCGTAATTGTATACAATGTACTATTTTCTGTATTGAAATATTTATTAAATCATATAAAATAACAACTACATGCATGCATAGAAA